AGGGGCCGGTCAGGGAGTAAATTTTCCACTCAATTTCCTCCCTTTTTTCCCCGACTGCACTCATGAAGAAGCAGAGGTTATGTGGAAAAAAACTCGCCAACAATGCGTTTTGCTTTACGGGAAAACACGGGGAGCGATCGCACCTTCTGCTTAAAATCAACAATCTCTCAAACGGTTTTATTGTACCGGTACCTGCCCCAAAAAGCAGGGACGTTTCCCAAAGACCCGCACAGCCCCAAGCAGGAGGGCCACCCAAAAAGGGACCCTTCTGAGAATGCCTTTCCTGAGGGTTTTTGGGGATAGAATGAGAAACTGGGGATAAAAACTGATGTCGAGAAATGTGTAGGGGCTCATCCCAAGGGGGATTTAAGGAAAGGGAAACCCCACTAAAAGCAAGGGGGTTGAGTAAAGGGTCCCCCTTTTTTCCCGATCAAAATTTCCAGCGAGGGGTAAAGGAAAGGTGGGGGAATGGAAGGAGAAGTAAGGGAAAAAGGGAAAAAGATCGCTGTCATGTAAGGCTGGGAGAAAAGACCAGGAATTTTAGTCAGTGGAGGGAAAAAGCAGACTGATAATCGATGCAAGAGAGAAATATGAGTAAAGGACAAAATGGGTGGGGGGTACCCGTAATTTTAAAAAATGGAGGGGGTGAGAGGGGAGAAAAGCCCCCAACTGAATGCCCCCCCCTTTAGTCACAAAATTTAACCCCCCCCCCCGAGAAATGGTGGGGGGTTAAAAACACCAAATAACAAAGTGGGGGTGGTAAGGATGAAACAAGAAAGGGAAAGTCTGGGATAGAAAAAAGCTGGGGAAGGAGAGAGATAAAAGAAAAAATATTGTAAACCCCCCTTTAATTCAAGTGGATACGGGGTGCAGTTTAATCCCGCAGGTATGGACAAATAGTTTTCCCGACGGAAAATCCCCTTCGTAGAAAAAAGGGAAAAAATTTCATTAAAGGCCCATCTAGAAAGGATCCAAGAATACAATAAATTATAGCCGAAAATAGGGTTGGAAAAAAAGCCGAGGGTAATTTTTGGGTTTTTGTAAGCAACCCCCAAAAAGGGAAAAAACCCGGAAAGCAACATCTGAAGCTCACCCCCCCATTTCCCCCAGGCCCCCGGATATTCCTTTTAAATAGGCCATGATTCGACAAGAAAAAAATCAGGGAAACTGAGGTAAAGCACCCACGGACAAAAGGGGGTTTGAAAAATCCCAAAGTGTGGGGGCATTGGGAAAATGTTCAAGTAGGGGGAAGGAACGGGGTGTTCGAAGAATGGGGGTTTAAGATTGGGGGAGAGGGGGAGAAGGAAAAAGGAAATAATCGTGCCATTGAAGGTTTAGGGCTCGCAATATAATTTTGAAATTTTTTTTCAATTTTTCAAAATTTTAAAAAAGTATGGGGGACCATATTGGAGATAGGAGGAGGAAGGGGGAGTAAAAAAATGGGAAAAAGTAAGGACTGTACCAAAGTAGAGGGGGGGGAAAAGTGTAAGGGGGGGGAGATGAAGGTGGGGGGGGGCAAAAGGCAGAAACCTGGGAGGTGGCAGAAGAGGGAGATTAATTTTTAAACAAAAAGAAACGCTAAACCACAAGGGGAAAACAGCAGAAAAGGGAGAAAATTGGGGGGGGAAAGGGGTTGGGAAAGGGATAGTACCCCCGGGGGGGGAAAGGGGGGTGAATCTCCACACCCTTTTTAAAAGGGGGCCAGAGAGGGGGAAGAACTAAAGGGACAAGAATGGAAAGGGAAAGTGTGGGAAAGGGGGAAAGGGGGGGAAAAAAAAAAAAGGGGGAAAAAGATTCGAGCAATGTTGGGTTTTTTTTTTTGGGCTTCTGAGTAGAGGGGGGATTGGTATTAGGTGTCCCTAAAAAGGGCTTTTGGGGCGATACTGGGGCTTTTGAGGAAGGAAATCAAAGGGTGTAAAACAGAAATGAGGGTTTTATTTTGGGACATCAGAGCCAAGGACAGGGAAAAGGATTTGATGCCGTAAGGCTATGGGGGGGGGGGGGGGGGGGGAGGGGGAAAACAAAAAAAGGAGGGCTGCGAAAAAAATGGGACCCCCCCAAAGGGGGGGGGATGTTTGGAAACAAAAGAAAAAGAAACAAAAAGGGGTTTGTCTCCCTTTGGGGGCGGAGATGAGTAACGCCATAAACATAAAAGGGGGACCTTTCCCCCCCTCTTTGGGGGGCAAACCCAATTTTCCCCTTCAAATTTTAAATAAAAACCCGGCAAACGGCGTGAGTACAAGGGGGAAACTTTATTACAATTAAGGCAAGGTTTTGGGGGTTTGGGCTTTCAAAATTATTGAAATGGGGGGGTCCCTCCGGGGACCACCGAAATTGGGCAATTTGGCCAAAATCCCCAAAAATTTTTTTTTTGGGGGGGGGGGAAAACCAAAAAAGGGGCAGCAATTTAACAATTTTTGCGGTGTAGGGACACCCTTTTAAAATTGTTTAAAAAAACCCATTTGGGGGGCCCGCGACATAAAACAGAGGACGGGGTTCCCCCGGGGTTGGGCAAAAGTTTAAAAAAAGGAGCCACATTGCAAGGGTAACGTCTCCCCCCCCCGGGGAGGGAAGGACAAAGTGTCCTTTTCTTTGAGGATTTGGGGGGGATCCTGGATTTTTACTGTTCAAAAATGTCTTGCCACCAAAAGACTGGAAATTTTTTGGACTAAGGTATGGGGCAGAAAAAAGGGCAGTACCACCCACAAGAAATTTAGAGAAAAAATGTTTTTCAATATTATTTGGAGTAGTATCCCTAATTCGAAAGGAAAAAGAAAAATCATAGCTTGGGTACATTTCCCGGAAATGACGATTTCGCGTAAACCAAATCCCGGAAACATGAAATGAAATAATTTTTCTTTGCCCCAAAATGACGCAGGGGGCGCTTTGGGCCCAAAACTAATTGGGGCAGAAAGGGGGGCAGAAGTTTGGGCTTAAAAAAAGAATTTTTTTTGGGGCCCCCCGGGGGTCCGGGGGAAACTTTTAGGGTGGAGAGGGGTTTTTTTTGAAGTGAAGTTTTTTCCGAGTAAATGGGAAGTAACAAGGGGCATCATCCCCGGGGAAAAGACGTTTGGGGTTTAGGAGTTTGGGCCCCGGAAATTTTGGTTTCCCGGGAAAGAAAAAGGGGGGGGCGATTTTTTAAAATTGCCGTTTCCGGAAAAGGGGGGAAGCCGGAAAACATAGTCAAAGGGGGAAACGGGGTTCAGCAAATCGAAGGAAAAAAACAGTCGGGGGAAGGGCCCCCCCCCCACCCGAAGCCCGGGGAGGAAAAAACCCAAAGGGGAAACCCGCAAGAGGGACAGGGGCAACAGGAGTGTCCGAAGAGTGGCCCCAAAAACAAGGCAGGGTTTAAAGGGGGAAAGGGGTGCAGTATCAAGAAGGGGGGCCCTTGGGGGAGTGGTTTTTCATGGGGGGCAAAGGGGTTGGGGGCCCGGGGTTTGGTTTAAACCCCCTTTCTTTTTGGGTTTTTTAAAAAAAAAAAAAAAAATAAAAATAAAAAAAAAAAAAAAAAAAAAAAAAAGGGGGGGAAAAGGGGGGGGGAATAGTTCCCCGGAGGGAAAGGAAAAGGGCCGGAAATTTTCCCCTCCCGGGCCCAAGAGGGGCCCCCAAAAACCGCTAGTAGCCAGAAAGCAGCATGGAACCCGGCCCTACCCTCCATAAACCCCCTTCCAAAAAAAAGCCCGTAAAAAAAAAAAAAACCAAAAAAAAAAATCCGGGAAAAAAAAAAGCCCAAACCCCACATCTTTCCGACTAAACCCCGGGGGAAAAAAAAGAAAAGGGCGGGCCCGGGTATCCGCCACAAAAAAAAAACATACCTCCTTCGGCCCCCCCAACCCCCCCCAATCCAAAAAGGGGGCTTCCAGATTATTATTATAATCAAGGGGGGAAGCGCTAAAAAACCCGGAAAGGGTTATACAGCGCCTTTGGGGGGGGTGTTGGGAAAGGGATTCCCGGGTTAAATTTTGGGGAAAATGGAAACACAGATCCAATTCCCTAAAAACAAGACCCCCCACCAACAAACAAGGAACCTTTCCCGAGGGGGGGGCTTCCAGAAAAACACCCTCGCCCAAAAGACCAAAACCCCAAACTACTCCGGGGTACCGGAAGGGATCGGGGCAACCCCCCGGCAATTTCCCCCATTCCCCGGCAAACTACGCCCCTGCCAAAAAACCTCAAAAGAATGGGAAGGACCCCCGGGTCCTTTTCCCCCACCTAAAGGGAAATAGCCGGACCTGTGGGAGAAATCCCGAAGGCCAAAAAAGGAAAGGGCCCAAAAGGGGGGGGTGAGGAGGGGGAGGGGGAATGGAAAAAGGGAGGGTGGGATAAAGGGGGGGGGGAATGGGGGGTAAATTTGTTTCGGTCTGAGGAAGGGAAAAACCGACCCGGGCAATTTCCTCAACCAAGGCCTCTTTAACCCCCCGCCAAGGACCCCCTTGAAGAGGCAGTGCCTGTGTAGAAGGGAAAGGCCCTTCAGGCCCCAATTCAGGGGAAATGGGGGCAGATCCCAAATTCCCTTTAACAAGAGCCCCCTCACCAGCATCCCAAATTTTTTAATTAAAAAACAAGGGGGAAGCGCTAAAAAAACCCCAGGGTTATACAGCAAACCCGGGGGGGGGGGTGTGGGAAGGGAAAACAAGGGTTTAAATTTGGGGGAAATGGAACACAAGGGTCCAATTTCCCCAAATCAAGAGCCCCCCACCCGCATCAAGAAACCCTTCCAAAGGGGGGGCTGAAAGATGTGTAACAAATTCATTATTTAAATCAAAAAGAAGCCTAAGCCAAAAAGGACTATACGCAACGAATTACATAATTTAGAATTTTTAAAAGACAAATGCATTTAAAAAGAGGGGGCGATAAAAAACCCGTAGTGATTTTACGCGCCTTTTTTGGGAAAAAAGGGGGGTTATAAAAAGCGCTGAACCCACAAGGGTCAAAACAGCACAGCGGAGCAGGGGATATTTCAGGCTAATTTGCAATAGGAAGTGTTAAAATTTTTATAATCAAAGGAAAGGGGCTAAGCCGACAAGTGTAGCAGGTTGTGCAGGCCAACGTGGTGTGGCTCTGATCTGGGCCATCTGTGGAGTATAGAATCTTTGAGCTTGAGGCATGGTTGGCATGAAGTAACTTGTGCCACCTGGTTGGAACATCTGTCCCATTTGCTGCATGCGCATACCAGCAACACGCTGCATGTACTGCGAAGCAAGGTGTGCCTTACGATCTTCACGACGTTGAGCCAAGGCAACGTACAGAGGCTTGCTGACCAAGATCCTACCGTTCATCTCTGTAACAGCACGGGTGGCTTCTTCTGGGGTTGAGAAGCAGACAAATCCAAAGCCCTTTGAACGGCCATCTTCAGTCATCACCTTGGCACTGGTGATTGTACCATAGTTGGAGAATTCCTTGCGCAGTCTTTCATCATCAATGGTGTCGTCTAGATTCTTGATATAAAGGTTCACACCCTGGTACCTGTTCATGCGTTCTATTTTCATCATCTCGAATTTCTTCTTCAGCTCAGCTTGTCGTTCGCCCCTCTTCTGAGCTCTTCCCACATAAATTTGTTTTCCATTCATCTCTTTGCCATTAAACTCATCACAGGCTTTTTCAGCAGCTTCTGGTTCTTCAAATGCAACAAAACCAAAGCCCTTTGATTTGCCATCCTCATTACACATTACTCTATGACTGGTAATCTTACCAAATGCCGAGAAAAATTCGTAGAGCTTTTCATCATCTAGGTCATCGCCGAAGTTCTTAACGTACACATTAGTGAAACGTTTTGCCTTCTCTCCCAACTCCTTCTCACGCTCTGCCCTAGGAATGAACTTCCCTACGTATACTTTCTTGCCATTAAGCAACATACCATTAACTTTTTGGATGGCATTTCTAGCAGCTTCCTCAGTTTCAAAATGAACAAAACCATAACCTTTAGAATTTCCAGCCTCATCAGTAGCAACCTGTAAGAGATTAAATTGAAGGTTAGCTAAAAAATTTCAAGAAAATTTTACATGTTCTAAAACTTACTATTGCAAGGACCATTAATTTTTCCCTCAATATGATGGAAAAAAAAAAAAAACTTGCCCACCCCTTTTGTAGTATCAAGGTCCCCCTTCCCACTCATTCTACATGAACTTTAGAGAAAGGTAACAGGGTATAAAAACAGGTATTGGGAAAAAATTTAGTGACTGCTCTTTTAGAGCAAGCTGTAAAAAACTGAGAAATTTGATATATGCGGTCCTTTATTACCATTCTTCACTCAGTGGACTTTTAACCCTTAAACTGTCCAAGTGTAGATCTACGTTCACACGTGTAGTGCTCCGAAAGTAATTTTTTTTTTTTAAAACAAGAAAGCATGTACTAAAATAAAAAGTTCGGAGCATTACACACGTGAATTAGATCTACGTTTGGACAGTTTAATGGTTAAAGCCCACTGAATGAGCAAAACATCAATAAAGGTCACACTGTACTACATCTGCCTTACCATTGTATATTTCACTTTTGAAGAGCCTCGGTAATTTTTATTTTAAATACGGTATAAAATTTACCCACAATTTAAAGAGGAAACTTAAATTTCATTTTGGACCATAATCAACTTATAAAAGGTTCAACAGGTCAGTTCAAGAGTGCCAAGGTCTGGTAAAGTCAACAGTGTTCTAAACATTTCACAGGGACTGACAAGCATCAATTAGGACCAAGAATCATTAGGTTTGTGTAAAATGGAGCACTGAAGAAGAGTGCATCAGTGAAAGCTAGAAGAGTGACCCGTTTATGGAATGGCTGAGCTTAAAATTAATTACTTTTATGACTGTCACTGGCAGTGTCATGGTACTACACCACAAGCTCAGCCCACTTACATGAGCCGTGAATGGTAAATTTGTACCTAGAGACGAGAGAATGGATGTATGCGGTAAGTAATGCACCACAGAAAATCCTGCAGCGCACAGTGCACAAGGACAAAAACTTTTGGTTTAAAACTGACTTAACGGTGAATTTTTATATGGGTTGTTATGGTTGCATTCTGTTTCTTGGTCCTATTTTATAGAATGGAAGATGTTACAAACATGATTTCCATTGTTTCAGGACTGAAAAAACTTGGCTTTAAGCTTAGCTCAAAGTAGCAGAAATGTTAGTTTTTTTTTTTTTTTTTTTTTTTTTGCAGATAGTCAAGAGTAAACCAATTAAGTCGCTTCCACTACATGCCCAACTGATGGGTCTAACGCGTGTTCACAAATGCATTGATATTACACATGTATATACATGTAATTACAATATTACATATAGTTGTGTGAATAAAATCAATTTGTGTGTAAAGCCTGGGAATGTAACTAATAAGTTATTTTAGTGCCAGAAATGCCCACATTTATGCTGGACCCTATTTTGAAACGAATACTTTGAAGTTTGTGTGAAATTGGCCAGATTACCAATTTCTGAATACTTTATTGGGTAGTTGGAGCAATTCCTTAACCCTTTAACTGTCGAAACGTAGATCTACATTTACACATGTAACTCTCCGACCTCTATTTTCTCCATTTGAAAGCATTTAAAAAAACATAGATCTACGCTTGGAGCGCTACCTCTAGTGAACGTTGATCTAAGTTTGGACAGTTTAAGCATTTATGCTCAATCTGTATAATGGAAAGCACTAGCAAAATGGCTAAGACTGTGGCTGACTGGAACAATGTCTCCGGCCTGAAATAAGACCGTGAGCAAAAATCACAGATGCGCCAATATTGCTGACTAAAGTGCATTTATGTGCAATTTCTTTAATTTTCCATCAAATTTGTTACTTAGTTTTATTTCCTTAAGAAAAAATCCTTACCATTTCATGAGAATTTTTTTTTTTTTAAATTCTTGGACAGCATGGACAAGTTTCAGATCTGGACAGTGAATGGGTTAATATCAAAACACAGCATCAAGATTTTGTAAACTGAAAGTACAGGAAAGGCAAACCATTTACTTCAAAGTTGATTTAACAAAGCAGGGAATTTACTTGAGAGTAGGCAGCTAACGAAATTAGCAATATTTAAGAATATATAGCAAACAGTTTCAGAATAGAAATTGTGAACTTGCAGAGGAATTTAAACCATACTAAGTGTGCATGGCAGGTAAAAATAATTAATAGGCAGAGAATAAACTTGTCAAGCAATACACACAATGTCAAACTTGTCCACAGGGTCCAAGAATTAAAAAAAATTACTTATGAAACTTGAAGAGAATATTTCTAAACATAATAAAACAAAGTACAAAATGACAGAAAATTCATGAATTTACTTTAACGCAAATTTTGCTGTCAGCCATTTTATGCATTGGCAATTTTGCCCAGTCCGAATTTCAGGCCAATTAAATTGTTCCAGTCTGCCAAATTTTAACTTTCCCTAGTATGCCTTCCATTTCAGCAAATGAGCACAAGAAACTGCCCAATCAACTATTTCAAGTACCCTAGTTATCATAAATTGGTAGTTTGGCCAATTTCAAATTCAAAATAGAGAATAAACAATGCAGGTATTCCTGGCACTAAAATAACATTTCCTCTGTTCATTAGTTACATTCCCAGCCTTTACACACTTAAAAAAAAAAATTATGCATTACTGTACTGCATAAATAACTTTAGCACATTCATAAACAAAGACCAATCAGTGGATGCATAGTGGAAGAGTAACATGATTTGTTTACTCTGGAATATTTGGCAAAAATCTAATATTTCTGCCATTTTCTGTAATATACCTTCCATTCTATCGAACGAGACAAAGTAACTGAAAAAAACTATAATAACCACACAAAAACACCACAGAGCGTGTTTTAAACAAAAAACTGCCATTTTTTTTTGTGCAATGTGCTGCAGGATTTTTCTTTTTATATGGTGCACTTACCAGACCCATTCTCTGGTACCTAAGGTCCAAGTTTACCACTCGTCTGAGTGAGCCGAGCTTATTACGTACTTCTATGGCACCAACCCAGAGTTCACGACCATTGAACTATGGCATTGACCCTCAAGGGGTTAATGGAGCAAGAGTAACAGGAACAGGTTGGGAGACTAGTCAAGTGGCCAGAGGTAAATCTTTCAGGAGTCAGAAAATATGAATGACAGTGGGAGTAACAGTTAAAATACTCAATTTTAAACAAGAGAGAAAGCTCTAATAAATGTGAATAGTAGTGACACTGAAAATGAAGTGCTATGACAAATCCACTTCACTGAAACTTCTGTACTGTCTTAGCTAGTCTAGATTTTAGCTTCTGCACATTATTATTATTATAATCAAAAAGAAGCGCTAAGCCACAAGGGCTATACAGCGCTGCAGGGTAGGGAAGGAAGCGAGGGTATTGGATGGCAGAAGGGAGGAGGAATGATCAGTAGGTTACAGAAAAGCGGAGCAGGGGATAGTACGGGGATAGGGGGTAGCAAGAGATTGAAGTAGAAAGGGCTGAAGGTATCAGAATTTGTGAAGTCAGTCAGTTGTCAAAAAGTCAATGAGTGTGTCTGGATGAAAGGTGGGTCCATCAGCAAGAAGGGAAGGTAAAGAGAGCAGCAGAGCGAAGACGACGACGGAGGAAAATTCTGCGTGCTCGTTGATAAAGTGGGCAGTCCAACAGAATGTGGCTGACTGATAATGGAACTTGGCAATTCTCAGAGAGGAGCAGGGCACCTCTCCATGAGATATCCATGAGTAAGACGAGTACGGCCAATGCGAAGACGGGAGAGAGTAGTCTCCCAACCTCGACACTGGTGATAAGACGGCCAGTAACCTATACTCTGTTTTATAGATTGAAGTTTGTTGCCGAGCATAGTAGACCAACGTTGTTGCCAACGGGTGTGAAGTTGGGAAGATATTGCAGCAAAATAGTCCGTAAATGGAATACCTCTACATGAAACCGGTAGGTCATGTACTGCTGACCGCGCAGCAGTGTCTGCCTGTTCATTGCCCTGTACGTCAACATGACCAGGGACCCAACAAAAAGCTATCTTTATGCTTGGTAAAGATGCGCCGTAGCCAAAGTTGGATACGGAGCACTAAGGGGTGAGGTATCAAATTTCTGTATAGCCTGTAAAGCACTAAGGGAGTCAGACAACCACAAATGATGACAGGCATAGATGCAATACGGGTAAGTGCTGTAAGGATGGCATACAATTCAGCAGTAAAAATACTAGCCTAAGATAGTAAAATCCCATGAACGACTCTCTCCTGAAACACTGCTGCGAAACCTACGCCCGTCAGAAACTTAGAGCCATCTGTGGTACAACAGCAATGCATGAGAATGAGAGTGAAAGTGGACAAACAATAGAGCGGGAACGACCACGTAGATCAGTTTGGGTTGGGCTATCGAGCAAGGGAGAGAGAAAGACAGACCTCGAACAGCTGGATACTTCCCAGGGGGTAGGGAAAAGATGAATGCTACATGTACATAGACATGTGGTAATTGAATATAAACAAGAGCGATGAAGGCAAAATAGAGAAGGACGATAACCAGGGGGCTGCTGAACTAATAAAGACGTCAACTAATATCAGGGACCCCTTCAATAAATGGAAGGAGTTGCCGAGACAGAAACGTAACAAGTAGAGAAGGCAATGGATCACGGCGATCGGATAAGATGGAACGTACGCTTCCTGCATTAAGGCTCTCCGACAGGGGCAGCGCGAAAGCACCAAGGCATAAACCTAACCTGGTGATGACTGGGGGTTAAGGCTAGAGAAAACAGGAGATGCCGCTGAAAGAATCTGGTCAACATAATCAAGTTTCGATCGATAAGATAAAAGGGTGAATGTAGGCGAAGAGGTTGACGACAGCTCCCCATGAAAATGAGCAAGGGTTTTAAGTGGTTCACCGGCTGATGGCAACTGCCTTCAGAGAGGTAAAGTGAGGTTTTCCCAGGATAACCTACTATCAAAGAGGAGGCCCAGAAACTTGAACATCCAGTTCAGGATACGGGGCCATACGAGTACAAAAGGATTGATCGAGA